GCTAATGAAAGAAAGTTTAAGGGTAACAAGCTAATTAAAGTGCTAAACAGAAGCTTGGAATAATAGGAGTCTCCAATTCTCCCCTCTCTTGTATATAGACACAAATTCCTCTGCTATAAAAAAGTACAAAAAAATAGCAGAGTAATATCTAATACTAAAGACATTCAAAAGATAAATCAAAAGAATACATGTAAAATAGAAAGCAAATATAAAAACATGATTACAGGGGATTAATATACTTCTAAACATAACTAACGAATATATAGACAAAATTTATAAAGAGTAATAGTTATTATAGATAATTGTTGAGAAGACATGACAAACTGATATAAAAAATAAATAAATAAATAAAGACTAAACAGGCAAATCAAAGGAAAATTCAATATCTGGATCACAGAGGTTCAAATTGAACACAGGTCCAAATTGAAAACAGGAAGAAAACACTTGCAATTTACAAGTCATGGAATATGAAACTAGCAATCATATTTAGAAAAAACAACTTAAAAGGCTGTTACTCATATGAAAGGTGTAGAGGACCTATAGAGATTACTGAAATCTCATGATCTGGTCCACAAAAATCAAGTCACTGACTATCAAAATGAACAATACAGTAAGCAATGACTAAGCAAGAGAAAACAAAACAAATTATCTATCTTCTTGCACACTAAATGGATGCTTCCATAAAACTTAAACCTATGAAAAAAAGAAATGTGTATATAGATGTCCTGTATGTGCTTTCAATGTAATACTAGTCAGCACATTGCTAAATACAAAGATATGTATAATGAATAGGTCTGTTGTAAGTTTGAGAATTGATAGCAAAAGAGGGGGTATGAGAATGAAAAATGATACTGCATTAAAGCTCATTATAGCAAAAACACAAAAATAAATATGTTTGCAATTACAAGTGGCTTTCAGACTTCCAGATAACTGTAGCTATGTAAGTTCTAATACAGAAGCTAATATCAGCAGGAGTTGACATTGTTATTCTTCATTTGCTCTTTCACTTTTTAAAGCAATTGTCATCTTATTCCATTGTCAAATCAGCACATTTATGAATACCCAGTTTCCCAAGAAGGGATATATAATGTAGATAAAGTTAATAATGATAAACTTGCTCAAACTGCAAACTCTTTATTCCCTCACTCAGATCAAAAAGAGTCAAAGCAATTCCTATGAAACAGGTTGTTTATAACTTATAAAATCATCAGAATTGAAATAGTTTATATTTCATCACCTATTTTATTAAAAGAAATCATAAACTTAAAGAACATGACTTTAAGTCTATCTTAAATTTAAAAGAATAGAAAAAAACAAGGGATACTGTCCTTTAAACTCAAGCACATAAAATATATATATAAAAAAGGGGAAAGCAGCCAAGTATAATTTGAATTGAGGTATATACACAAAAAAATATTATATCAATATGTTTAGATGTTCAAGAGACAGCAAATTAACTGACCCAATATAAGGCATTGGTGAAAAAACATGATCCAGAGAAATTAATAAAAACTATGGGTAAAATAAAGTAAAAGACAGAAAAAGAAGAGAAGGAACACCGATATAGTCTTATTATGAGAAATGGATTTGTCATGAAGAAAATAAGGTAAACATAGACTAGAGTTTGGTATTCCAAAGAATGGTATTTTTGCTAAAAGAAATAAATTATTCAATAAAAATAAACAAATAATTAAATGAATAAGAAAAAATATATATGCCATAAATCAAAATAAACTGATAAAAAATAAACAAGAAAAAACAGTCCAAAAATAAACAAATAATATGTTTAAAAAAGGAGTAATAAGAATCTGACCTAAAAAAAGAAGAAAAAAATAATGTTATTAACAATAAAAAATAAAATAAAGTTACTAATCATATCATACTTTTCAAAGAAACTAAAAATATATATATAAACAAACAGTCTAAACAAACAGAAATATAAAAAATAAAGAATTTTTGCTACATAATCTCATCAAATAAATAAGCCTACTGACCCCAAACATATATACACATACATTGAATGCATGATATAAAAAAACACTAATACTGAGAAATATAATTTTGGTTTAGGCACTTTTACATTTGTCATTATCAAACTATGATACCAACAGTAACATCACATAAGAAGCACCATCACTTATCACAATCTTAAATTCCTTTTAGATTACAAAGTAAAGCATATCTAATACAAGACTGATATTTCAAAAAATAAATTATATAAATCAATTAAAAACTTTTGAGGATTTTTTATCTTTAAAAAAATCAATTTGGATACATTATACTGTTATTGTGAATGGATTAAAATTTTCATTTATTCATTTTTATTTTTGTCATCTTGCAGCTTGGGTTCTGACTACCATAGCACACAAAAAACACATTCTAACCATACACTTGTTGCAAGTGATTTTCATACCACCTAGAGCTGCAAACACTTTATTCTCTTCTACTGCTCTAGCATGACAAAGACCCATCCACATCCACAGAAATGGTGTCTGAGACGGTGGGGGGTTTGATTACTTTACCCTCAATAATGAAAAGTATTACTAGCACAGACTGATGTATAAGCTGCAGTCAAAGTCCATAATAATACCAGCACTATGTTATATTCTCGAACTGGCAGCACAAAAGGATAAGACCAATCATCTAATGGTAATATTGTGATGCAACTTAATAATTAACTAGAACATGTGATAGTTGTCACACAATTACCTCTCTGTTATCCACCATGCAGAATTGTGGAACCAAGTGATAATCTTGGGATATACTCAAATTGCTACAAGCAGGCAGACCTTGCCAGAAGGTACAAAATCTTTGATTCTATAATAAGAAAAAAATCATATACATAAAGAAATGAGCTGCATGAATGTGACACTCTATATGGTCTATTGCTCTGATAGAGCCCTTGACAATATGGAAATAGAAAAAGCTTTTATGTCACAGATTGCAAATCAACAAGTGCTTTGGTAAGACTTGAATTGATTTCATTAGCAACTACATTAAGCGATAAACATCACATGGAAGCCACACCCCCAAAATGCATTGGTGAAAAAGTCTTCTTTGTTGTGGGTGAAAAAAAGAAGGAGAAGAGAGAGAAAGAACAAAAGAAATATGAAAAAGGAAGCAACCCAATTGTAGAGCAAGTGGGCTAAGACTTTACCTGTAATCTTTTCTTTTTGGAGGAAAAACATGGTATATCTTTCACATAACTGTTTCAAGTAACAGAGCAAAAGTACACCAAGTACTATTGATCTTTGAATTTGAAAGAAAAAAAGTTATTAGAGGCCAGTTTCTCATGTGCTCAAACCAAACACCTTTAAAGCATTGAAGGTTGTTTGGAGAGCTACTTGCTCAGATTTCTTCTTCATGTAAGCTGCAATCATCTCAATAGTTACTGGCAGAGAGCAAGGTTCGTTGCGTTGGAAGGTGCAGTATCGGTGAAGAAACGTCAAAGATCTGTGAAAAAAAGACTGATTAGTGGAAAGCTAAACATAACGATCTACAGTCACTCCTAGCATTTAAGGGTAATACAAGATTTTTATATATAGTACTAGAAAATCAACAAATTGAACCCATAGAAGATGAGGTGCCTAAACCACTGTGTTGGCACTACAGCTGGCTCATGGCAATCAAGTGGTTATTTGTGATGCTGTGTAAGGCTAGTTCAGTACTGTCTGTCATATATCTATGTTTTGCAATCTTTATTCACAAGAGTATGAAAAAATAAGTGCATACATTATAAACCAGTTCCTTACCTTTCCGTGAGTGCCTCTTTGACATATGGAGGTAGCTTGGAGGCACGAGTATTGGGGTACATGAATGGCGAATCAGTTTCAACAAGGAGTCTGTCTAGTGGGACTACTCCATCTTCTAAAATTCTCCTTACACCATCCTCAGATTTGTCTTTCCATACATAGCCTACAAAAACAGATATATGAAAATAAATAGTCTAATAGGAAAAAAGAAAAGTACACATACATAGGAAAATAAAACATATACTATTACAATTCTACAGTTCAACATTTCCGTAGAAGAAAGCAGAGAAAGCCTCCCACCTGTAAGACCAATGTAACATCCTTCTTTGAGGTAGGCAGCTGCTTGTGTGGCATCCCCTGTGAAGCAGTGAATCACCACAGGAGGAAGACGTGCTTTGTATTTCCCCAACACCTCCAGCACCTCCTTATGGGCGTCTCTTTCGTGTACGAAAAGTGGTTTTCTCAACTCGCATGCTAGGGAGACCTGTAGAAAGAAAGGATATACGGATGTGGATATAGCTCTCCTGTGGAAAATTTACAGATGATAGGTGGCATGTATGACATGCCACCTGTCAGCACAAATGCTTTTGGACTGCTTTCCAGGTGACATGTACACCCATACCACACAAGTTGGGCCTCTTATGCATGATAAACAGTCATTTGCATGTTTGGCCATTACTGCAGTGATCTAGGAGCTACAGCTATTCAAAAATAGGCTTCAAGTTAATTTTTTGCCTATTCATGGGATAATGTATGTGCTGGAGCCAAAATTGTAGAGAATGGGGAAATTTTATGTTTTTGAATAGCTGACTACTGGGATAACATAGAAGGAAATATTTCATGCTAATTTGTATTTGTCATGTTTATATCAGATTTGATATGCATCTACAACTCAGCCACTTATGGGTGGAAAATGAGGATTTAGACTGAAGTTCCATCCAGAAAACAAAGATATCTGTGAATATAGCTTACAAGTGATGAACTTTTACATAACATAAATAATGAATTTCCTTTATTGGTTAATACTCTATTTCTATTACACAGCCTTAAGAAATTTTACATACATCTATTTAAGAACAGTCACTCACTATATCAATCAATTCTTTGTTTTTACTATGTATTATTTATGTTTTCAATGGTGATCAGTGTATTTCCTTTTAAACAATGGATCCAAAACAAGCAAAGAAGCATTATTTTCCACAGATACTGATTCATCTCTACAGTGTGACACCAGAATAGTCAGCTATGCTCCTCCTCCTCCTCCTCCTATGCTTCTCCAGAAGGGTGCTATAAAATACATTTTTGTCTTACATCTTCAATGTCAACTCCACATCCATTGCAGAACACTATAAACAAAATTATTTAAAGGAAAACATGTTTTCTTACAAGAATCTCTGGCACACCACAAGAATTAACTTTTTTTTTACTTTTTTTTGTGTGTGTGTTTGACTTTTGATCCAAAATGGTCAGTTGATGCATAAATCCATGAAATCCCTTTCCAAATCATAATGTTCACTGTCAGAGACAAATATGTAACATTATGGACTCTTCTGAAGTTCCCATTCAATGTATGTATTTTGGTTACATAAGACAATTTTTATTTCTCAGGGCCTTATCTCGTACTTCCATTTGCTACATTTTTCTAACCATCTTCGTCTAAGCTGGATAATTGAGATGTTAGGGATGATGATCTCTTTGTGATGTGTAACATTTTCGGCCTCTAAAATAATCTAATTTCCATAATCTTATAATGTCTATCTTCATTAATTACTTGGCAAGCAGACTGATTATTAATTCTTCAATATTAATATTACCAGTTACATCATCCACAACAATCTTTATATGAAGCTAGCTCATGTATATAGTGCTAGCAAACTAGCCACAGCTGTTGGCTTTCCAAACACTTTTAAATCTGAGAACAAGTTTTTTCTTTCTTGCCAGAAATTGTCCTTGTGTCATTCACAATAAACTCTATTCACAATAACAGTCTCTGAGTCTGGTGTACTGTTCCTCACTTCAAGGACTTCAAGTATAGCCCTTTTCGTTGCCCTTAGACCTAGCCTATCAATGCAGAGAAAGGGGTTAGCACATCTATATTTTTATTGGTTGGTCTGAGATTTCAACGTCATTATTGCTGACACTGTCAGAGAGTATTCATTCATTACTGACCCTCTCTAATGCTACTGGCCAAGAATCTTTTGTATGTTGCTTCATATATATTTCATTGTTTGGCTGGATGATTTAGATCTTCACAATTAATGATTCCACATTTCACCCACATATTCGAAAGTTTATTTCATTATATTCAAGGGGACATCTAACATTATTGTAAACTCTCAAATCTGCTTGGAAGTAATCTTCCCCATTTCTTCTAAAGCTACTAACATCTTCTAGACAATTGTATAATTACCCTCTCTGAAATGAGGGTTCGCTTTGTTCCACTATGAACTTACTTGAGCCATCTTTTGCATCTCACAGTTACAAGCCAAAATGATGTACCCACAGTTTACAAACTTCATTGGTAACATTCACACATGCTGTGTGAATGTATATCTGTTTTGGTACATTGTATTATCACACATTTATCATTTGAGCATATGCTTTTGTAATTTTGACTTAATCAGAATGAAAACCAAAGTCCAGTGTGATCATTCAAATTCCTTGTTTTAGGCTCTGCTAATATCTTAAAAGGCATAGCTGGATAAGACAGGGAAATTTGTCACATATATCTGGATCCTTATCTTTAAGAAGCAAATAATAATTCTCCTAACTGCTGAGATTTTGTCTTGGTTCCTCACTTCCTACTTCTCATCCTCCAATTTTGGTAGTGTTTGGTTGCACAAAAAACTTTTAACAGTCAAAACCTCTAGTCATCTAAGTGTTTACCTATTTGAAAGTAAGTATATTTTTCTATGGAACAAGTCACTTTCCCCAAAAAAGCAACATTCCTCTAAGGTTATTAATATAGTAGTTTATATATATTTTAACCAACCTGCTTTTCAAAGACCTCAAGCTGGACATCTTGAGGAGAGAAGTTTCGATTGAAGTCCAGTCCGCACTCACCTATGGCTACCACCTCTTGGTTGGCAGCCAATTCTCGTAGAGCCTCTTCGGTTTCGTCATCCCAAGTTTTCGCTTCATGTGGGTGTACTCCTGCAGTGGAAAGAATATTGTCATAATGCTCTTTCTTGAAGGTCCTTTTCAGTTATTTAGGAATAAGATCAGGTGTCTATTAACTTTCTTTAATATCTATGAGAGAAAATCTAAACTTAACCAATAAAAAAGTCATATATAAGGATACTGAATTTAAAATGTCAAAGTACCTGCAGTTGAGTATAATGTCTCTGGGAAGAGGCGGGTTAGGCGTAGTGCTTCCTTACTGCTCTGTACTGTAATGCCCGTTACCATGATCTTGTGAACTCCTGTAAGGAAAAGATTTTAGCTTTCACTGGGAGAAGAGAAGAGAGAGAAATCAGAGTAAACAGAATGGAGAGTACACAAAGATCCAAAAATGGACAAAGAATAGAAAGTTTTGTACAATAGGAAGAGAACAGTGAGAGAACATAGAATAGTGTGTCATAGCTTAAACACCAAAAAAAGAGAATTAAGCTCTGAGGGGAAGGTGACAAGAAAGAGCAAAGAGAGAGAGAGAGAGAGAGAGAGAGAGAGAGAGAGAGAGAGAGAGAGAGAGAGAGACATGCAGTAAGTGAACTGCAAACAAAGGAGGGAACACATGTATAATACAGAA